ACAATCCGCCAAAACTACCAATGTTCTGCAAGTGTTTGCTGTTCGCTAAATGATCACCATATAATGACACTTTTGAACCAAAACAAGACACCATGTGACAGCACTTAAAAGCAACATGTCACAGACATTAAGGTTTCGTAAGAACGGGAAAGTAATGCCCTCTTCTGAAAGCCTCCAACCACTGATTGCGCAGACAGTTGCTGTATCTAAGGATGACAGCAAACCATCCACCTTGTGGTAAATGATGCTATTTTTTTTAAAGATGATTCCAATCAAATTCTTGGTTGGATTCAAGTTTCAAACAGACGTAAGTCGAGGCCTTACTATCCATTAAATTTTCATTTATTTAAAAACGGCTCGTTGTGATAACTTAAAATTCACGTCTCCCATTAAATAAATATTGAATTTCATTCGTTAATTATCCAAATTGTCAATCAAAGTGTGTTGTGAGTTGTGGCATACTATTATTGCCAATAAGAATAATTCGTCCTGTATTCTTCTCAATTGTCAATGCAACGAATAACTTTTCGTAAATGAATTGTTAAACCGATTCAATTAAAAGCTCGACAATCTCCTCTTTCTCTTTAAATATACCAAAGATCCAATTATCCATAGACACAGTGTATACCATGTGACCATGTAAGCCACATGAGTGGCAGGAGTAATGTAAAACTTCATATAATCGTCAGGAATGGCCACCATGGGATATTTAGTGTCTTGTGCCTTAGAAGCTTTTAGAGAATTTTCGCTGGTTTGTTTTTCCGAATAGACAAAGTTTGGAATGTGATAAAAAGCATCCACAAGAAGTGGAATATAAGGCAGCTTGTAATATTTGGCTATCGAAAACAAATCCATAGCAATAAATTTGTTTGACTTTCCGTCATAACTATCAGAAACACCAGCGCCTAAATATTCTCCTGGTCGAATGATGGCTGTGACTTTTTCAATATGATTTTTATCGGTGGTCTTTTTTTCAAAATCTTGTTTGGAAGCACTAGTGGGATTTTTGTAAATACTTTGAGGTACCCATCCTCTATTGACCATTACAATTTCTCTATTGTGAGTTGAAGCAATCATATGATCGTAGTTGTATATGTGGTAGTTCCAAAAAAGTTATTGAGCATGGAGTTACATGAAAGAAATTACGCACAAAATGAATGTAATGAACCATTGCAAAATGTCAAGAGGTTTAAATTGAATTTTAGATTAAAACACTTACCCTTGTTTTGTTACAAAGGGTGTCAATATAAAAAAGCCCATCTCTCCAACACTCGTGGGCAGATCGAGCCGCTTCGTGAGTGGACTCTTTCTGAGGCCAACAACAATTTCTTTATCATAATCATAATAACCCTCTAAAGTAATAATTCTATGTGAATATTCATCTTTGGCTGGATTAATTGGATCGTAATCTTCCTCTGATTTCTCATGAATGGATGGAACGACACTGCTACTACTGGATTCGGGTTGCTGAATACTTTCCGAAACTTTCAACATGTTGGAGGGATCATAATCGATTGGATCTTGAGCAAGAGTTACTTCACGGAGAGCAATTTGCTCCTTCTTCCACAAGTATCTTCTTGTTTGCCACACACCCAGACAAAATGTTGTAATAGCTGGAATACCGAAAAGATAAATTGAGTCAATGTGAGAAAGGGTTCTTTCTTGGTTTGTTGCTGCGACGATGACGATTCATCATGATTTTCTCCGCCCCTATGTTCTTGTTCCGATTGTTGTTGTCTTCTTCGTTCTTCCTGATGATCCACAAGTCGTATTGTAGCGTAGGACCGATGATGGGTGTTACAAGAATTATTTACATTTCTAGTAATGGCAATGACGTGATTATTCGTTTTGAAAGCCTTTAATCCTTTTTGTAGGAAGAGGGGCAAGAGGGATTCACACAAATCTCTTCTCAGAGCTGATGAAAATCGATTCAACATTTTTTCATAATATTTTTTTAAAATATTTAAAAATATTTAAAAATGAAGAAACTTCTTCAAGCTCCGAAAAGCTTCTTCTTGAATTCAACATCTTCCAGAGTTTGCAATGGCCAATCCATAACACAATTCAATGAATCATTGGTTCCATCATCATCATTACTATCTAGATTGAAATCATCAGTTTCCGTTCAACGAAATTTTCATTCCGATCAAATTTGCAATGCTCCTACCATCAAACCCATCAATGAAAATGAATTTTACAAATTTTCAAGAGACTTTGCAATAGCATCTGCAAAAGCCTCTCAACAAATTGATAGCATTTTCAGAGTGCCAAATAAACAGAATGATGCCAAGAAGGAGAATGCTATTCGATCGTATAGTCAAATGATGCTCGGATTGTACTTGTTTCACTGGCTTTCAACGGGTGGTGATAAACTGAAGGAACCCTCCATGGCAAAAGCTATATCAATGCTTGATCAAGTGTCACAATTACAGAGTGGAACAGAACAAAATATTAGAGAAAGAGAAGAAATGGCTCGAGAATTTGCCAATGCCTTCTCTTCGAATGACGCTGAGATTGAACGCTTAAAAAGCAGAGCGTCGATGAGAGACAAAATATTCTGAGAGCTGGCTCTTTGCTTGTGGCATATCCATTCCTTAAAGGCCAATTCACCAGAGATTTCATTCAAGAGGCCAACAATGCCAATAATCCTCAAATCATTCAAGCCAGCGATTTTGAATTGAAAATTAATCCTCAAAATATTGGCGAATCGTTTAAGGAAGCTACTGAGAAGGTCAAAAAATTATCCGAATTTTTCATGAATGATACTTTTAAAAAGCTCAACAAGCAAGCTCAGCCACAGATTCATTGCTTCAGGAGAACAATCGTGATGCCATCTATCACTACAATTATTTATTGTTGACCATTCTATATCAGAAACATATTCTCGCTCAAATGACCAAGCTTAAAAGAAGGACCTTGCAAGTATGAACAGTGATGACATTACAGCTTTCATTGAGGGTGCCTCTGCAGCCGAGTATGCAATTGCCATTGCAGGAAATCCATATGACAAACTTTTAATGGCAGCTGTGAGCAATTTACACATTCATGCTGTCTGAGAGGCACTATTACTTGGATTCATCATGGCTGAAATGATGATGGAATGTCACCTTTCACAAAAAATTAAAAAATGACCATCTCCTTCCCTCGCAACATCCAGATCATCTTTCCTCGCAACAACAACAACAACAACAACAATAACCATCAACAACGTCAACAACCAACCAATCACCTCACTCTCAAAGCAGATCATCTTTATGTTCATGATGATTTTTCGTCCTCCTCCTCCTCCGATGATGACAATGACACCAACACTTCTTCGACAGCCTACACCAGCTCTCTCGAATATTCGGAACAACAAAAAAGGTTTTTTGCCAACGAATGTCTTCGATATGGAGATTATATTTCTCTCTTCACGTCGGAATCGATGAGTGGTGGAGCATCGTCGGAGAGTACGGTTGGATTTTTGAGCGTGGATGGAATTAATTTAACATGCAATATCGAGGGGTAAGTGAACACCTTCTTGTTTGGACGACACATATGAGTCACTCTAAATTTCACCAACACGTTATACATACCTATTATCATAATGATTCACACACAACGCCAAATATTTATTGTTGTGAAATATTTTCATCGGAATACTACCAATTATTATTCACAACACTATTGATCCAATTATTCATTTACAACTCAATTGATATACAAAATTCACAAACTCCCATAGAAATGCAAAACAAATTCGTTGTGGACTCACAGAAACTACAGATATTTCAACTTTAAATTCAACAAAGAACGGAAATGCCAATCAACCACACACTCCATTGCCACCCATTTACATGATTCCCAATTTTCAACAATGCATCTTTCAAGTTCATTTCGCAAAGAGTTATTCAGCCATTAAAAAGTATCATCACTATGTGAATGAATTGGAAATTAAAATGGCCAATAAGAAGAGTCATCACACTGGTGGTGTGAGCAATCAAACAACGAACACTGGAGGAGCGTCATCAACAGCAACAACTGGAACATCGGCTACATCAAAATTGGCACATCTTGCAAAAACAATGGATCACCATGGAGCTACCAAAAGTAAAATCAAAAAAATCACAAATATTGTCCACGAGAGTAATGAATTGGCCCAATTGAAACAACGTATGGAGCGTGAAATTCAACAGAATGAATTGGAGGCTGCTCGTCACATTGGACAACCTGTATATTATGGATCTACCATTCAATTGTTTCATGTACAGACGCAAAGTTATTTGACTGTTGCGAGAGAATCTGCAGAAATGCAAAAAGACTGTTTGAGATTGTCACTCGACCAGGATGGTTCAAAATATTCACACTTTTCATTGTTACCATATTTTAATTATCAAAAAGATGGTGATGTTGTGAAATTGTCTGACAAGTTCCGTATCTGGAATAGAAAATCGGGACAATTTTTACAATTTTCATATTATCGATATAGTAATATTGCAGATATGACGCCATCTTCAGGAATTTCTACAAAAGGAAATTCAGATAATTATTCACAAATTGCCAAGGAGGCTGTGAAAACAAATTCAAATCTTAAAAAGTATTCCTATGACAATAGACGTGAAGTGAACATGTCAGCTTCAAGTGCTTTCTCACATTGGCACCTGAGAATTTTCTCTCCTTATTCTGAATATTTACAAGATTCCAAGCATGTCAAAGCAGGAGATATCATTCGAATTTATCACAAAGAATTTGATGGTTTTTTGACAGTGAATGAAAAAACAGGTCGTGTCAAATTCAAAAAACGAGCTCAGTTCATGTCGAAGAGCGAATCAAATGGTGCAGATTCATCCATGATGGGAAGTTCATTGATGAAATCAGGATTCTCTTCAACATCGACATTTTCACAAGGATCCTTTCATGTGGGTACCAGTGCCAAAGATTTATTATCACAAAGCACCAAGTCAGGCTTTGCATCGATTGGACATAACCATGACAGCAGTCAAAAGTCACAATTTTTGAGCTCTTCAAGTAACAAAAGTGGAGATGAAAACACCATTTCATCCTCAGTCGATCAACAATTATCCTGTCAAAGTTTGTGGCAAATTGAAATGTTAGATTCCACAAAAGGAGGAATTGTGAGAAGAAATTTTGCGTTTCGTATACGACATGTCAGTACTGGATATTACCTCATGTTAAAACCAAGTTCTGAGCAAGAGGATCTTCGAGAGGAAGAATTGGAAGAGAATGAAGTCTCAGAGACAAATATTTCCTTCCTATCTTCAACACTTCACAATAGTTCCATTCATGATTCAACAAGTCAAAACTCCATTTCTGGAAGTACTGCCTCCAGTAGTACAAGTGGAGGTCATAACAACAGTACACGAAAGATGAGATCTTCTTTGCTCATTAAACAACCAAAACGAGAACAAGCATTCAGCATGTATGTGGAACCTCAAGAAAATTGTCACGATATTATGAACATGTTATTTACGATGCAAGATGCCATGTTGTCAAATGACATTTCTGCTCTCTCTTGGAATGGCCAATTTAGAATCAAGCATTATCAAAGTGGTACTTGGTTGCATGCACTATTTTCTCAAAACCGTTTTCCACAGGAAGTGGTGACAAGGAATTGGAATCCCTTTCTAAAGTTCAATATTCTCCCGTTTATTCGGTTCCAACTTTGAAAGAGCAAGACGTCCTTACATGCTTTCCTGTCCGTCGTGAGGAATATGAAGATCTCCTCACCGCTCAAAGTTACCTTCCCATTCTCAAATATTTCCTCTCAAAATTGAACGATCACACTGTCAAACGAAATGACGTCAAGACTTTTATTAATTTAATTTCAAGTTGCATTAGATTCTGTACCACAAGCGACGAGAAGGATCCTCTCTTGCGAGGCGGTATTCCAAACAAATATCATCAACAATTAATGAGAGAAAAAGGAATTATTGCACTCGTGATGGAAATTTTGAATACACTCATTTCACACAAATATCTTACCTTGGAAGATATGACACGCATTGATGAAAATGCAGAAAAACAAGATTACTACGATGTTTTACAATACTCATATCGCTTCATTAGACAAGCTGTGTTGATGAATGAAGTGAATGGTCTCTATATGGCTCAATATATCAACTTTATTCAATCCACCATTGAGTATAGTATTCATGCAAGTGAGGCACTTCTTCAAATTCTTTCCAATAATTTTGCACTTCTCAACAAAATCACAGAAGAACAAATTGATTTTTTCATGACCTTACTTTTCAAGAGTAACAGTACTACTGGAATGAGTGGTGGAGGAAAAACGACTACTATTAATATTCCTACACGGTATCAAAATCATATAGGTGGTTATCTCAAGAAGGCAGTATACTTGTCCTTCTTGACAAGTTTAATTATTTGTGAGGGAAAAACAGTTGTGAAAAATCAAAAGTATATTTCAAATTTACTTCTTGCCACCTACAAAGAACAAATGAATAAGGTATTTCTCATTCCTCGTATTCGAAAGTCAGACAATAAGGTGGTCGTTGACATCAACCATGATGAAATGGATTTAGTGAGCTTTACAAAATCTGCAACCGATACAGAATATGTGAATTATTCCAAAGTCAATTTTGAATTACTTGTTTTCTTTCAAGAAGAAATCAGGTTATTTGCTGCCCTTTGCAGTGGAAACAGTGAATCAACCGAGTTGACAAGGAATGCAGTCATTCAATTATTTACCTATGAAATTGTTTACAAATGTTTACAAGAGCCAAACTTAACACCTGCTCTCAGAACTTCCTTTGTGAATTTATTGCTTCACAGTTTTGTGGATACTGAAAAAAGAGAAAGACGTGTGCTTGTAGATCTCACTCGAAAAAGTGAATCTCTTTATGGTAAAACACCTCACGATCACACTTCACGAGAATTGTCTGAAGTGAAAGACTTTTTAAGCTCTTATTTCAAGCAAAATTCAACTCTCGACATGGGCATTGAATTTAAAGATGTGAACAATTTCACACTATCACTGGTACAATTATGTAGAAGCATGCTAGAATTTGGAATTTACACTTTGAAAGATTTTGAGGACAGTGACTTGCTGATCGCTCTGTTTGATATTTTACGTTCTGATAATGATAAGAGAAATGGAATCTTATTGAAAGATGAAGAACGAATCAAACATTCAGAAGAGAATGAAGCCATCATTAACATCAAAATTGAGGTCGCAAAAATTTTCCACATGCTTCTTGATTTAACATTAGACAAGAGAATTACCAAGTTTCTTCAATTCTTTTGGATGAAGTATCGTGTCGAAGATGTGAAAACTGTTCTGACCGATGATGAGAATCCAGAACCAACTAACGACAAGCAGAGGCAACAACTCTACAATCTGAGAAAGAAGGAAATTTTGAAGGTATTTCAAGAAATGGAACAAAAAGAACATCAAGTGTTAACTGACATATTCAAAAATGTTCTTCCATTCGACAAGATGGGAAACTTTGATTTGAAATTACTGAATTTAACAAGCTATGAAAATCAAGAGCTTGCCACCACTTGTCTCAGATTATTAATTCGAAAATTTAGAGCTGCGGATGAATTAGCTGCTGCTTTACCAAAAGTAGAATTAATTGTCTCAAAGGAAATGGCTTTAACCTATGATCATCTCAGAAAACAGACCAATGATTTGAGAAGCATTTTTGGATACGGACGAAGCAATTATCTTGGAGCTCGTCACATCAGCGAATACGAAGTGAAAAAAGCCATGAAAGCTCTTGATGAAATTCTCAAAGATATGACCACCAATGAAAAGAGAAGTCAAAGAATTATTAGAAATTTGGGCCTCTTTGAAATCACTCTCTCGGTGTTGAGAAGCGAATGGATGGTCTCAAATGAAATCAAAGAAAGTTGTCTTAAGGTTTTAACAGCATTCGTAAAAGAGAATCCAGAAAATCAAAAATTACTCTTTCCCTATATGGAATTTTTCATGAGAATGATCACAGAACACAAAAAACTGAGCAAATCCATTGTTATTCTAATGTGTGAATGTGTGAGAAATAATCGAGCATTGTGTAGCACCATTGAAGAGAAGCACATTGAGCAATATATTGATCTCATTGCAGAACAAAGAAGTGCTTACATGTTACTCTTTTTGAGAACCATTCTTTCGACACACAATGGAAACCCAATCAAAAGAAATCAATCACTCATTACAAAATATTTACTCGAACGAAAGAAAGATGTGGTGATTTTATTCAAAGACGAGGAAGGAATGAGAGAACGAAACAATCGAATTTCAAAAGAGGAACACAAAACAGAACCTGAAGGAATTTTAAATTATCACATTGCATTATTGCACTTGTTAGCAACGGCTGCAGATGGAAAAAATCGAGAAAGTGAACAACGTCTTCAAACTCTCTTCACATTGGAAGAATTATTGGAACAAGTCATATCTCCATTTACATTGCCAATGATTAGAAATCCACTTGTGAAAATTATTAATGAAGTTTATGTCAATGTTGAAAAAGTGACAGAAGTGAGTGGAGGAAGTGGAGATGGACATAAGAAATCTACTAATATTAATATTCATCATCCTTTAATGTACAAGATGTTTTCAAAAATGATTCGTGAATTTGAATTTGCTGAAATGAGTGCATTGGCGCTCAATGTTTCTGGAGGGAACATATCACTCCTCAAAAATCATCCAATGTCTTGTCAGCTGTTACGTTGACCAATAATAGAGCATCTACGAAACCATCAGTAGCCATGAGACAGAGCCGAGCACTTGGAGTGAATATTCCCTCAGCACGACTCTCAGCAACAGGTCCAATTCGTGCACAAATTACCGACGAAGATCTCGAGAAAAATTATATTGATAATTATTATATTTTTGAAATTATGATTCCAGTGATTCATAATTATTTTCACCTGCATTTCCCTCCTCCAAATGTCACAAAAGAACAATTGGATATTGCTGAAGATCTTTTGTTGAAATTAATTGATTTACACAAACATACAGCGAATCAGGAACAACGTGACAAGATTTTCAAATGTGTAACTGCCATGTGGAAGAAGAGTATGTCTCCTGAAAGTCAAATTGCAATTACAAAATTTGTGACATCAAAATCATCAAAAGCAAAAGTGAATCGCACTCACATTACACACGCCTATGTCGTCGAGACCGATGAAATTATTAACAAGACCTATCGCAAATATTTACAGAGGAGAATTATTTCAAAGATTTTGCGTACAAGTGAATTCAGAAAGTTGGGAAATCTTTATGAAAAGTACAATGGTTTTGTGAAGGTTCTTGTGAGAATCCTTCGTAAATTGAATGACTCTGGAGCCTCTTACGATCAATCCCTGTTAGATGTTGGACTATTGGGCCTAGAAATTCTCAAAACAATTGTTCACTCTCAAAACAAACGTTCCAATTTACCTAAAAAGAAGAAAAAAGAAATCAACTGAGGAATTTGAACCTTTGGATTACGTCGAGAAGAAACTTCCATTGGTGGTGATGGAATTGCTGACCTCACCAAATCCTCTCATTGTGAAATCTGCTCTCGAACTTGGAATTTTGATTTTACGACATGGTTATGGAGTCATTCAAAAAGAATTTTACAGAATTTTGACAGAGACAGATACAAGTTTCTTTTTCATTTCTATTCGAGATCGACTTCGATTGGCAAAGAAGGAAATTAAAGAGAAAAAGAATTACCTTAAAAAGAGGAAAGAAAAGGAATATGCTCTTCACAAGGAACGACAACGAAAAGAAATGAGCAAAGTTCGAGTAAATGTGGTCGATAACAATGATCCTCATGGAATGGATGCAACCAAAAATCCATCCTCTTCCAACAACACATCAGAGGCCGATCAAGAAGAAGGCAACGAAGAATTTATTGAAGTCGGTCATGTGGAATTATTACTCGAATTTTTGAGACTTTTATGTGAAGGTCACAATCTGGAAATGCAAACCATTCTCTTGCATCAACCCAACAATAGTTTCAATGTAAATATCATTCATGAAAGTATGGAATATTTGGTGGCATTGGAAAAGAAAATTGACTTTGACAACATTCAAATCGCTATTCAAGCTTTCAGAACTTTCACAGAATTTGTTCAAGGACCAGCAACTGTAATTCAACAAACATTGGGAACTTCACCAAGATTTTACTCTCGATTGGTGAATGAAATTCTTTCAAAAACCTATGAAGATGGTAATTTATTGAAACAACAAGAAGTCATTTTGAAAAAAGAAGTCGTCTTGACACTCACCAGTTTATTGGAAGGAAGTAACACTCAAAATTTATTGGAGATTATGAGAAATTCTCTCAATTTGGAAGAGTTGGAACAGTTATTATTATTCACTGCAAGATTTTTGCGATCCTTGCAATCTGAATCACATCACGATCGTGCCACGGATGAGGTCGATGAAGTGGTACAACGTCTCCGAAAAGATTTTGACACTCATTTCCTCTATGAAGCCACACGTGATAAATTGAATCCAGTTGTGGCCGAGGATTACATTAGTGCCGTATTTCCAATGATTAGAGATGCCTACGAAGAGTTGGGAATGCAAATTTTCTTTTTAATGAATATTTTCAAAGATGCGGAACGTGAACAATTGCGAATTCTCTCACGAAATACATTTTTGGAAGAACACAAAACTCTCAAAGTCACAAACTTTTTGAATTTACATCAAGATTTGCTGAGTATATTTTCTGAACACACAGGTAGTATTGAAGTTTTGAGAAATAATAATATCGAAACAGTTTACTTTCCCATTCCAAGAATTTGTGAAAATTTAATGGATAAGGCACGTCATGATTATGTACATTCACTTCCAATCATGACTCCAGAAGAAAAAGTGAGACAGCTCTATAACGATACATTTAGTCGATTTTATGTGGAAATGCAACACTATGAATCCATGAGAAAGAAAAAAGTCTCTATTTGGAATGAAAGACAAGATTGAAGAAATTGTAAATTTGGATGTCATTTCTCATCATCGATCTTCCCATTCTTCAGAACTCGCGACAAGGGACACTTCCTCCTACTTTTCATTATTGGATGAAAATTCATCCTTAATTCCATCCATCAATGACATTCGTCGAAATTTGGCTCCAAAATCCAAACGTAAAAAGTTTGTACCACATTCTGCACACAGCAATGAAACTTCTGCAAGTTGGGAATTTATTGCTCATTTTTGGGAATATTTAAGACTTTCTTCCTTTATTTTCTGTGTGGTGATTAATATCGTCTTATTAGGAACATATAAGAGATTATATTCAGTAGACACTATGAGTGGTATTCCAGTTCCTGGTGACTCTAATTTTGATGTGTTAAATGCTCCTAAATATCCGTCACCGCGGACACTTGCTGGAGATATTGTTTTAACCATTGTTGGTGCCATTCAATTAATCATTACAGCAACATTGAGTGTAACCTATGTGAAATATTTTGTCACACTCGAGGTGAAGAAACGATTTAAATTGAAGAAACGTGAAACATGGGACAGCATTCCAAGAAATCGTCATTTTTATTGGAAATTCTTTTTATACATTTTGAGAGATACACAATTGTGGTTTTTCGTTATCTATTTCATGTTGAGTATGATGGGTTTATTAATTTCTCCACTCGTTTATAGTATTCAACTTTTTGAAATTGTGTTCAGATTTAAATCATTGACTGATGTATTGAATGCTGTCATTTCGAATGGAAAGAAATTATTCTTTGCTGGAATGTTGTTATTGATTGCCATGTTCTTCTTTGGATTACTCTATTTCACATGGTACAGTTATGATTTTATCACCACAACTACCAATCTCAATACTTGTGACACAGTGTTAGCATGTTTTGTGACAACATTTGATTATGGATTTAGAACAGCAGCATCGTGGGAGAATATTTATGCACCAGATCCTGGAGTTGGAAGAGCTATTTTGGATTTGAGTTTTACATTGATTGTTATTGTGTTTTTGTAAGTACTAGTGTTCCAGTGATCACTGTATCTATGTGATTCGAAAATTTTACTTTTCAATTTTTTATTGAACATTTAATTCATTCTACCTGATTCTCCGAATTCTATTATTTCATAAAATTCAATGTCAATACATGTCACAGAACCAACGTGGTGTTTGGTACCATTCTCGACTCATTCCAACAACTGAGAAAAGCACGAGAAGAACGAAAAAAGGAAATTACTGAAAAATGTTTTGTCTGTGCTTTGGAAAAGAGCAAATTCGACACCAAAGCCAACGAAGGAATTACCTTTGAAAAACATATTAAGGAAGAACATTATTTGTGGAATTATGTTTACTTTTTAATTTATTTATATGAAAAACCAGA